TGCTCTTGTTTCAGAAATGGGCAGTCTTTGATGAAATGCCCTGGTTTTTTGCACTTGTGACAACAATCGTATCCGTTAGTGTTTCTGCTAGAACTACCCTTCTTGGGAGTGCCTCCATTTCTACGAACCATTTCCTGAAATCTTTGTGGTCTATTGGTTGATTGATTTTTCTCGAAGTTTGGTGGAGCAGCCATGTAGATCCTTTCTAGGAGTTAACCTTTTAGAAAGAACTTGCTCTGATACCAATTGTTGGAAGCTAAGCGTCCACCAGACTGTATAGAGAACCAGGTTCTTTATGAGTTTCCACTAAAGATACTAATAAACCAAACTGTATAGCAATTTGGTCCTATATCAGTTCCCACAGTGCTAACTACTGAACCAATATGTAAATGAGACACATGATAAGTTCCTACTTATAGAGAACCAGATTCTCTATAAGCTCCCACTGTAAGCAACAGACTATAAAACCAGCCAGTATAGGGAATCAGGTTCTCTAATTGTTCCACAGTAGCTCGGCAGTAAGTAAAGAACACAGAGGATTTTTACGTGGAAAAATCCCACACAAGGGGATAAAAAAACCACGACCTACACTTGTAGGCTTTCAACTTCACTAACTTGTGAACACCTATTACAAGCCACTTTGTAATGACTCTATTACAAAGGATTCAACTCAACTAACTTGTGGTACTCTCACCACTAGCCACTTTGTGACTCTCTAGTTACAAAGACTTTAACTAACTTGTGATACTCTCACCACAAGCCACTTTGTCACTTCCTAGTAACAAAGACTTTAAACTCAACTAACTTGTAACAACACTATTACAAGCCACTTTGTAATAACTCTTATTACAAAGACTTTAACTTATGACTAAACCTAGTCACAACATAAACTGTAGAGTTTACGGATTTTGGATTTCCTAAAAAACAGCTTCTAAGAAAGCAAGATAGGAGTTACAATGAAGAACAAATAACAAATACTCAACAAACCTAAGGACTTAAGATATCTTCGATCTTGGATCAGGTCCTTGAGGTTGCAGCAGCTTTGTTCTTGAGAGAGGTTGTGGCAAGCACTTGAGAGAGTATTTTCGTTTCTGATTTTGCAAGCCTTGGAGAGGAATGTCTTTTGCCTTGCACCAGGTTTATACTACAAAAGACATCACCTTAGTGATGTCAAATCTTGGTTAGTACATGCCTCTTCTCAATGGGAAGTGACTGCTGCACTGTCTGCTGAACTACTGCGTGTACAGTTGCAGGCAATCACTTTCTGCAGTTGCTTTCCAGCTGTACAGTTGACTTATACTTATGTCAGGGGAACACCAAGGTATCAGGTCCCTAATCTGGTTCCTGTGAATCTAAAAGCACACTGCCCAGATTATCTTGACTCGATTAGCTTGAATGATTGCACCAGGCATGCTTCAGTTCCTTTATCTGGTTCTCTCATGAAGTAAGTTGTTTTACCTTCCTTGATTGTATTTATACGTGTGTGACATCACTTACAATGATGTAAGCAAGGTAGGTAAAAAGCCTTCCATAGAAAGTTGACTGTTGCACTATTCCTCTGCAGTAGCGTGTGCATGCAGCAACTTTCCTACTGGAGAGTTGACTTCATACAATCTCCTCGGGAACTGATAGGAACTATTTCCTCAGCTATTCCTTCCACTCTGAAGAGTTGAGCTATATTCCACGCTGGATCCCAACCTGGAACGTGTGATATCGAGGTCTTGCAAATATGTAACAGGTTCTTTATCTGTTCTGGATGGTAAGTTTGTTAGATCATCAAAACATAAAGTAAAGTACCTATGCCCAAGGTACTTGTAACCTATCAGGTACGCTGCCCCCCCTCGGCTCGAGCTATCCACTCGGGTAAGCCAGGTCTAGAACAATACACCCAGGTTTTAAACCTAGAATAACATAGCCTCTTGCCAGTTCCCTAGTAGGAACGCTTGATTGCATCACGTGCATTTGACTTTGGGCACTCGACACAGGGGTTGGGTCCATCTAGGACAGGTGTATCCGAAATAAAAGGACCATCCTGATGCATCTTACGTGCTACTTGTGCATTTATTTGTCTTCGATTTGCATGTTGACCGGCTTCTAGAAAGGGGAAAGAAAATAAAAAAATGAAAGAAAAAAGAGAAAGAAAAGGAGCGAGAAGTAGGTATTTGAAAAATTCTGAAACTCTGCCGAAATTAGAGGAGAAAGAAAATAAGTCAATATTTTCAAAAAGTCATGTATCCCCGTTCCGTAAAATTGACCGAACTACGCGGGTCTGATTCTCACCGGATGTGAGATACGTAGGCAAACCTCATCGGTTCCGGCCCCAATTTTCAAAAATCTAAAAAAAATTCCTTTAATTCCTACTTTAGAAGTCTTTCTTTAGAAAATCCAGAATAAAAAAAAAGTTTAAAACCAAAAATATTTTCTTTCATTTAAGTAGTCTTTCATTCGAAAAGAAAATCAAATCAAAATCCAAAAAAAATATTTTCTACCTTTTTTAGAAGTCTTTTTTCCAAAAACAAAAATCCAAAAAATATATTTTTCTTTCTTCTTTAGAAGTCTTTCTTTCAAAAATTTCGAAAAAAAAAATTAAAAAAAACAAAAATCAAAAAATTCAAAAATATTTTCATTCTTCTTTCAAACATTGAAAAGAAAATTCAAGATTATAAAATATTTCCTTTTTCTTTAGAAGCATTTCTTTCATAAATTCAAAATAAATTCCAAAAGAATCCAAAAATATTTCCTTTCTTCTTCCTTAGAAGTTTTTCTTTTGAAATTCCAAAAAAAAAAAAAGAGAAAAAAAATCGAAATTCAAAAAAAAAATTCTTTCTTCTTTAGAAGTCTTTCTTTTCAAAAATTTAAAAAAACCAAACAAACAAACATATCGAAATCCAAAAATATTATGTTTCTTCTTTTTAAGTCTTTCTTTTGAAAAAAGTCCAAAATCAAAAAAAAAAGAGTTAGTTTATTTACTTTATTCCTAATCCTCCTGAACTACGTAATGATCTGATTCGCGCGGCGTCGCGATACGTAGGCAATCCCCATCGGATGCGGTCATAGCTGTAGATAACTCGAATAAGAGAGAAAATGATGAAAAGAGGGCACAAGAAAAAGAGAGAAAACAATGCAAAAGAGAGAGCGCAAAGAAAAGAGAGAAAAAATGAAAAAGCGTAAAGAAAAGAAAAAGATATAAAGATCCGGGAGATAACAAAAGCCGGGATGAGACACGCAACCGTTGCAAAGCATGTAGAAAAACGTTTAACTGTCCAAGTGCATTGCATTCCCCCAAAGTGCGATTCCCTATGTGTTAAATGTCTCAAACTAACCGGTTTGTTGTGTATGCTATTGAGAACATGTTCTGTTTTAGGTGGTTGGTTTTGTGGTAACCTGTCTACGCACCCTTACTTCATGAGATCTAAAGGGAGTGTTGAAATGACATCAGAGAGTCACCTACCGATCATCAACCCCTCAGAGGATAGCCCAACAACGGTCATCCCGACCTCTGAGTCGACAACTGCTGAGGAAAACAGAATGCTGCGTCTCCACATGTTGGAAATGTGGGACACTTGGTCTAACGGCAGAGAACCGCCAAGTACAATCCCTGGATTTCCTGAGCTAATTCCCAAGACCGGTGGAACCTCCAACGTCCCTATAACTAATCTGTTCACCCCGTTCGGATACCCTTCTATGTCAACTCATCTCACCGGAACTCCTTCTGAGGTTCGCCCCCTGGCACTGTTCTTGGGAATATCTTCTACAATATTCACCGCACCACCAACCTCTGCTACTGCACAACCATTAGTGCCCAGACCACGTTTTGAGCCACCATCCTTTACTTCTCAAGTACCACAATTTCAACTTGACACGGCTCATGTCACCTCGAACTCTTACCCACAGCACCCTCGGTATGAATCTGCCATGGAACAAGAGAAAACTTTGAAAAACCCCGAGCAAGAAGAGATGACTCGAAAAATGAAAAGCATCGAACAGAGTCTCAAGAACATACAGGGCCTGAGTGGCCAGAAGAGTGTTTCCTATGCTGACCTGTGCATGTTTCCTCATGTTCATCTGCCCATCGGTTTTAAAACACCAATATTCAAGAAGTATGACGGGCATGGAGACCCGATTGCCCATTTGGAAAGATAATGTAATCAGTTAAGAGGAGCGGGCGGAAAGGAAGAACTGTTGATGGCTTACCTCGGAGAGAGCTTAACTGGAATCACATCAGAATGGTATATGGACCAGGACATCTCCCACTGGTATATACGGGATGACTTGGCCCGAGACTTTGTCAGACAATTCCAGTACAATGTGGGCATAGCTCCAGATAGAAACTCTTTGTCCAATCTCAAAAAGAAGTCTTCAGAAAGCTTCCCAAAATACGCTATCGAATGTTGCGAGCAAGCAGCCAGGGTAAAACCCCCAATGGATGAGACCGAGATGGTTAGCGTCTTCCTGCAAGCCCAAGAGGCTGATTATTTCCAGAACATGATGTCTGACATGGGCAAGCCATTTGCAGAAGCCATAAATATTGGGGAGATGGTGGAAAACAGTTTGAAGACGGGTCGCATCATGAGCCAGTCGGCTATAAGAGCCACTTCTCAAGCAATCCAGAGTGGATCAGGGGTGTAGCAAATCGGAAAAAGAAAGAAGAGGTAGTAATGGTGGCCTCAAGCCTGAGAAATCCCCGTCAACCCCGAGGTTACTTTGGTTCCTCTTCCAGCCCCCCGCAACATTACTACCCTCACCAAGATGCGGCATATGCCATGACTCCTCAGCCTTATGCAGTAATGAACGCCTAGCCATATGCTCGGCCGCAACAACATTACAATCAGAATCGAGCTCCACCTCCCAGAAATAACCCTCCTCAACAAGCTCCATATAATCCCCGTCCACCACAAAATAAGTTTCCATATAACGCCTGTACCCGTGAACCACCCAGAAAAACTAATCTCACACCCATCGGTGAATCATATTCCAGCCTCTTCCCAAAATTAGTCCAAATGGGTTTGTTACGGCCCGTACCTCCAAACAGGCAAAACCCAGAAACAACCTCCTACCGACCAGGTACCCAATGCGCTTATCATTCATGGGCGGAAGGGCACGACACTGAAGATTGCTGGACCCTTAAGAGAGCGGTCAAGAACCTGATAGAACAAAAGCGGGTAGTGTTGCAGGATGAGGAGCCCAATGTAACCAATAACCCATTGCCAGCTCACAACAACGGGCCCGTTATTGGGATGATTTATCAGGACAGAGAGTTTGACCCAGCTTTGAAAGCTATCATTGCTATTGCCGATATTGAAAAGAAGCCCAAAGCTGCAGCAAAGCAAGCTAAGGATGATAAGAAGAGGAACTCCACTCCTCAAAACACAGAAAAGGTTATGGAAACCAAGACAGGGGCAGTACCTCCTAAAGATGCCATTCTCTATGTTCCCAGAGCCCCCAGGAAGGAACAGCTTGTGTTGAGTCCTCCCAAAAGGTTTGAGCAAAACAAGGTCACACTGAAGGTAGCAAAGATGTACGTACCAAAGGGGACCTATGTGGCGCGGGGGCCGATAATTTCACCCAGGATGACTGAGCCCGTGGTTATCAGTCGCGCCTCACAAAAGCCCATGAAGGACCCCACTTCCATCCCGTGGAACTACAACAAAGCAGTGGTGACATACAAAGGAAACGAAATCATGGGGGAAGTGAATGAAACAAACCCATCTGGAAAGTACCACAACTTGGAAGAATTGAACAAAACAAAGCAAAAGCGTTTTCCACTTAAAAAGCCAGTCAGTGCTGAGGAGGTAGAGGAATTCTTTCGGAAGATGAAAACCTCAGACTACGCCGTGATTGATCAACTCAGAAAGTCCCTCTCTCAGGTCTCACTTGTGTCCCTGCTGATAAGCTCGAATGAGCATCAGAAAGTGCTGTTAAAGACGCCTAATGAGGCATATGTTTCGGTAGAGACCACGGTTGAACAATTGGAAAGAATGGCGGAACGATTTTTCAAAGTTAACCGAATTTCATTCAGCCAAAATGACTTGCGCCCAGAAGAGGTTGCTCATAACAAAGCTCTTCATTTGACCGTTAAGTGTGAAGGATACTATGTGAAAAGAGTTATGTTGGACGGCGGATCTGGGGTTGACATCTGCCATCTCTCAACCTTACAGAGAATGAAAATTGGGACTGAAAGGACTAGACCCAATAATGTTTGTGTACGTGCTTTTGACGGCGTCAAGAGGGACACAATAGGGGAGATTGATTTGATCCTAACCAACGGCCCTGTGGATTTTGAAGTAACATTTCAGGTTTTGGACATGGACACTTCAAACAATTTTCTCCTAGGAAAGCCTTCGATCCATGCTGCAGGAGCCATACCTTCTACTCTCCACCAAATGGTTAAATTTGAACATGAAGACCAAGAAATCGTGCTCCACGGAGAAGATGAGCATTCAATCTACAGGGACCCGTCAGTTCCCTGTCTGGAGGCTAAAGAAGGTAGTGAGCACATAGTCTACCAAGCTTTTGAGATCGTGGTAGCAGACCGGTGTGAGGAGGGAACCCCGTGTCCTCAACCCTTCTTGTCAAACACGTCAATCATGGTCGCCGGTGAATTGATCAAACACGGCTACAAGCCCGGGAAAGGGCTCGGGGCATCTTTGCTAGCATTACAGAGCCCATCACCCTAACTGCCAATGAGAAATTCTTTGGTGTAGGTTTCCAAGCCACAGAAGCTGACGTAACATGGGCTAATGAACGTAAGAACAATGGGTGGGTCCTGCCTCAGCCAGTCCCGCATCTCTCCAGAACGTTTGTTAAGCCAAGATACATAGAAGAAGAAGATGAGGCCTTTACGGTCGAGAAATTGAGGACATTTGTGGAGCGATGAGGCAAATGTTAGATGAGGCTCATATGGTCCAGCCGGGTGAATGCTCAAGCACTGCTGAGGTGCAATATGTGGGGTCGAATGCCAAGCTTCAAAATTGGAAGGGTAATCCATTCCTAGTTAGGCGGGAATCCCGGTAGTTCAGTCTTGCCATCTTTTCTGCATTCCGAGTTATTTCAGGGTGTAACTCGAATGTTTTTAGTTTATTGTCTTTTAAATTCCAATGTAAGCCCTCCTATCTTCAAATTCAATGAAATGAAATCAATATTTCATCGTCTATGAATCTCTTTCTTTATTCTTTCTTATTTTTGTTATTTTTTCTTATCTCTTTTTTCAGTTCTAATAATGCGGACTTAAATAACATGACATGCTTGCGGACTTCATGTCCAGATCTTAATACACTGTCTAACTGTGAAATAATGAATCAAGAATCAGACTATGATGAAGATGAGGCTTTTAGGGAAATAAATTGAGAACTGGAATAATTTGAGAATAAGCCTAAGCCAAACTTAAATGAAACCGAGCCAGTTAATTTGGGTAGTCCAGAAGAGGTCCAGGAAACCATGATAAGCTTTCACGCTGATGAAAGAACTAGAGATGCATTGGTCCAACTTTTGATCGAATTCAAAGACGTGTTTGCCTGGTCCTATAATGATATGCCAGGACTGAGTGTTGATTTAGTGGTGCACAAATTGCCAACTTACCCCGGTTATCCCCCTGTCCAACAAAAACAGAGAAAGTTTAAAACATGCATCAGTGACAAGATCAAAGAAGAAGTCACCAAACAGTTGAAAGCGGGCATGATCCGAGTGGTCCGATACACCACATGGTTGGCTAATGTGGTCCCAGTGCCAAAGAAAGATGGGAAAACCCGAGTGTGTGTTGATTATTGAGATTTGAACAAAGCAAGCCCCAAGGACAACTTTCCATTACCAAACATCCACATCCTTGTTGACAACTGTGCCAAACATGAGATACAGTCTTTCGTGGATTGTTATGCTGGGTATACGGCTTTCACCACACCTTGGGGTACTTACTGTTATAGGGTCATGCCGTTTGGTTTAAAGAATGCCGGGGCAACTTACATGAGAGCAATGACCGCTATTTTTCATGACATGATGCACCAGGAAATCGAGGTATATGTGGATGATGTGATCGTTAAATCCAGGACGCATGATGACCATGTGCGAGATCTGAGGAAGTTCTTTGAGCGCCTGCGTAAGTATGATTTGAAGTTGAATCCAGCTAAGTGTGCATTTGGCGTGCCGTCTGGGAAACTATTGGGATTTATAGTCAGTCGGAGGGGCATCGAGTTAGATCCAACGAAGATAAAGTCTATCCGGGATTTCCCCCTCCAAAAACCAAGAAAGAAGGGAAGATTGAATAACATCAGCAGGTCCATTGCTCAGCTAACTACCACATGTGAGCCCATATTTAAGCTATTGAAGAAAGATGCGGTGATTAGATGGATAGATGAATGTCAAGAAGCTTTCGACAAAATCAAAGAATATCTATCGAATCCGCCCGTGTTGGTCCCGCTCGAGCCTGGAAGGCCTTTGTTCTTGTACTTGACAGTGTTGGAGGATTCTTTTGGATGTGTTCTCGGGCTACATGATGTGACCGGGAAGAAAGAACAAGCCATATACTATTTGAGCAAGAAGTTCACTAGTTATGAAGCTAAGTACAGTTTGTTGGAAAGAACCTGCTGCGCCCTAACTTGGGTCGCTCAGAATCTTAGGCATTACTTGTTGTCTTATACCACCTATCTCATTACTAGGTTGGATTCTTTGAAATACATATTCCGAAAGCCAATGCCCACCAGGAGGTTAGAAAAATGGCAAATCCTGCTTACCGAGTTTGACATAGTCTATGTCACCGGCACGACAATGAAAGCTCAAGCCTTGGCGGATCACCTAGCTGAGAATCCTGTTGATGATGAATATTAACCCTTGAGTACTTACTTTCCGGACGAGGAGTTAAGTTTGGTTGAGGTAATTCCAGAGGACACCAATGCTTGGAAAATGTTCTTTGATGGAACTGTGAATGCAAAAGGTGTCGGGATTGGGGCAATTTTAATTTCGCCCACTGGTCAGCACTATCCGGCCACAACCCGGCTTCGGTTCTTCTGCACGAACAATACTGCCGAGTATGAAGCTTGCATTATGGGCATGAACATGGCAGTTGACCTGGATATGGAAGAATTGTTAATCATGGGAGATTCTGACCTGATTATTCGACAAGCTCAAGGTGAATGGGAAACTCGAGATATCAAGCTTATTCCATACAGGCAACATGTAGAAGATCTTAACAAACGGTTCAAATCCATCGAGTTCAGGTATATCCCTCGGTTCCACAATGAGTTAGCTGATGCACTAGCCACTTTTCAATGCTGCCGTATCCAGGCAATGTCCACATTGACCCACTGGAAATCCAAATCCGAGAAAAGACATGGTTATTGCAATACAGTTGAAATGGAACCAGATATTGAGCCATGGTATCATGATATCAAAAGATTCTTGAAAACAAAGGAATATCACAAACAAGCTAGTGGAGACCAAAAGAGAACCATTAGAAGGCTCGCCAGTAGTTTCTTCTTGAGCGGAGAAGTCTTGTGTAAAAGAACTCCAGATCTGAATCTTTTAAGATGCGTGGATGCCCAAGAGGCCGGAAGAATCATGAATGAAGTGCACGCAGGAGTATGCGGACCCCATATGAACAGATGCGTCCTTGCAAAGAAAATCCTTCGGGCAGGTTATTACTGGATGACCATGGAAAAGGATTGCTTCAATTTTGTCCGAAAGTGTCATCAGTGTCAGGAACACGATGACCTGGTTCATGCACCGCCTTCAGAATTACATCCTATGTCAGCACCATGGTCGTTCGTTGCTGGGGGTATGGATGTCATTGGGACAATCGAGCCGAAAGATTCAAATGGGCACAGATTCATCTTAGTTGCCATTGATTATTTCACGAAGTGGATTGAAGCAGTCACTCTCAAAGCTGTCACCAAGAAAGCGGTGGTGGATTTTGTCCATTCTAATATTGTCTGTCGCTTTGGTATTCCTACAACTATCATCACCGACAATGCTGCAACTTTGAACAGCCATTTGATGAGGGAGGTATGCAAATAATTTAAGATCACGCATCGGAATTCTCCCCCTTATCGGCCCAAAGCAAATGGTGTTGTTGAGGCGGCAAACAAAAACATCAAAAAGATCCTTAGGAAAATGATTCAAAGTTCAAGACAATGGCATGAAAAGTTGCCTTTTGCATTTTTGGGATATCGCACAACCGTGCGCACATCAATTGGGGCAACACCCTATCTATTGGTTTTGTGGCACTGAAGCTGTAATACCTACAAAAGTTGAAATTTCATCTCATCGAATCATCGTTGAAGCTGAGATTGAGGACAATGAATGGGTCAAGACTCGTCTAGAATAGTTAACCCTGATTGATGAAAAGTGGATGGCTGCTGTTTGCCAAGGGCAGTTGTATCAACAAAGAATGGCCCGCACCTACAACAAGAAAGTGCGGCCCAGAAACTTTGAAGTGGGGCAACTTGTTTTGAGGCGTATTCTCCCACATCATAAGGAAGCCAAAGGAAAATTCGCTCCAAATTGGAAAGGTCCGTCCATTATAAGGAAATTGTTACCAAAAGGGGCATTGTACTTGGGAGATATTGAAGGAAATGACCCCGAAATAGCTGTCAATGCGGACGCGGTCAAAAGGTATTACGTTTAACCCTTCTGCGGTGCTAATATTCTCCGATTGGGATGACGAAGGCTTTCATTCTCGCTACCCAAACACTATCAACCCTTTGCAAACCCTTTGAGCCAGTTACCTTTCTTTGACTACCCTCTTTGGTACCCGAAAGTGCTGTTAAAAAAAAACAAAAAAAATCAAATCAAAAACAAAGTTCCCTGAACTACGTTCGACTTGATTCAGAAAGGATACGTAGGCAGCCTCTTTCAGGGGGTTCAGTCACACCAAAACAAAAATCCACATTTCCCCAAAAGTTGAAACTGTGGCAGAAGTTATAATGGTTCGGTGATGGTTCGCTTGAAAGGTTCCAAAGTTGTAATTCAATCCAAACTATTTTTACCCCAAATCCTGTTCAAGTCCTTCCGATCAATCGGTAAAGATGTCCAAAATTGGAGGATATGGTTACTTGGATCTGATACAATCAAATGAGATAAATAAATAAGAGAGTCTTATTAGTGAAAACCCACACGGGCACCATAGGGCGATGGTAAGCAGAGAAATTAAAAATGAGAGAGTCTTGTTAGTGAAAACTAGCAAAGAGCACTATAAGACGACGGTGAGAGAGAAATAAGAGAGGTCAGTTAGTGAAAACCTGCAAAGGGCGCCACTAATCGAAAAAAGGATCCCTTACAACTATCGGTACTTATAAAGTCCTGGCAAGGTTTCTCAGTTTTGAGATATGGGTTATGATGGGTTTATGAGAGTTGGATGATTTGCACAGATCGGGTATTAGTCCAAGAAGCATGTCATGTCTATTGAAGTCTGCATGCACTCCAGATAAGTCCTTCTTTCCTTTCCCCGAAAGGGACACTTCTCGTTTAAATTCATTATCTTATCCTTTGTTTACTTTTCTTTGAATCCCTTTCGGTCTAATTCTCCTCCGAAACTAATACAAAGAAAAGATGGCAAGATTGGTCTTACAGGGTTTTGTTTGACAAAAGCTAATATTCAAGAAAGTACCCAGCCTCAGCAGGTGCATCAAGTCGGCCTCGACTGGCCATGATGGCCGATGCTCCAGAGTCAAAAACTCTTGAAAAGAAAGGAAATCAAAGTCAAGTGCCCATAAAGTCAAAATAATATGGAAAAAGGCCAAGCCTCACACGGGTTAATATCATGTGGAATTCAGGAAAAGTCAAGATCCACGGGTTTAGAAATGAAACCAATTTCCAGAGAGCCAGCAAGCAATGGAGATTTTTATTGAAAGAGCTGGGCCAAGATCAAGCGCCTGAAACGCTCAAGGC